TGAAAATTGCAAATTTCGCAAGGCTATATTTTCCGCATTTTACAACATTTTGCAACGAAACTTTGGAATATTACTAATTTTGTGATGCTCCTTCAAGCTGTGATGAAATTTTTGTGTAGCGTGTGAAATTTTTAGCGCGTCACTTCCGTTCATTATTTTCATTGGTAATTAGGTCAGTATAATCACAACACAACTGTTTACACAATTTATGTTAGTTGTTTAGTAGCGTTTCATTGTTCACATTAGTTCCGACATTCTTAATTCATCTGCTACTACGTACAATCATTTTCAAAAGTCAGTGTTAGGACACTAGCTGTTTTAGATGAGGGTCCTGAAGGGGGGGGGGGGTCATATTCCCATTTCCCAGCCCAAATTTTGACTAAATCCCATTGTCCCAGAGCACAAATCCCATCATCTCAGTGGCTCTCCTGCTCAAATCTTAATCCCATTCCCATTTTCTATTGTCTTTTTTGCTGATGAATCCCAGTCCCAGTGCATGAAATCCCATTTTCCCACCCAAAAATAAGCAAATCCCAGTTCCCATTTTACCCCTTCAGGACCCTCTTAGATCATGAGTGGATATATGCAAGTTATTACAAATATTTTATCACTCCCCGCCCGCTCCAGTTCAATGTTGCTAACCTAATCCAGACATAGCAAACCAAAATAGGATGCTAACTGCGATCCAACATTGAACAGGGGGGGGGAGGTTTTTCAAAATTATATATTGGTAGTTGGGACATCTGTCCAAACATATTTGAAAATGATTGTATATTCTTATTTCTTCATGCCGGATTTTGCTCTCTTTGCTGTATAATCTAAATGTTTTCAATTTCCTCAATCAGTCTGGTATACAAAATAATGGCTTCCTCTGTGCTAGTTGGGATCACAAGATTATTTTCCTGCATTATGAATAACACAAGCTCGACAAATTCAGCACTGCATCCAAATTGTGGTGGCTGAACACAACATCGCTCACATGCAATTTCAATCTGATCTGGTGAGACAGGTGTGAGATCACGTGAACTAGTTGCATCAGGCAAAAAGTAAAGCACATCAGGCCGACCATCTGGTGATTCTGCATTTGTAGATATTCTTATTTTCTGTAAATTCCACTGTTGGGAAAACATTGAGAGTTCCTCTTGAATGATATTATATAACAAATCCACCAATCAATGCAACTTTTTCTCAGCATTCCCCAAAATGCCTCAATTCGCTGATTTGAACAGGATGTTCCATACAGGAAACTTTCATTGTCATTGTGAAAGAAACGTTGTAAACCAGCAACATAAACATTTTCGGTCCCACAATCTGCCCGTATTATTCTGGACGTCCCGCCCATTTGTTGTACACAGTCAACATAATATTGAGCTATTATATGAGGATTATTGTTTGAAGGGCCAACTTCCAACCACATTACGCATCTACTGTATCCATCAATAGCCCCATGTATGCAAAAACTAAAAAGGTTTTAGTTTGT